CTACTGAATCAGACAGAGGTTATATTCTCAGCCAATTATCAATGTAATTTAATATTGATGTAACAAAAGTTCTCTTTCTTTCTTTAAACCCTGTTTGTCATAGTGAAGAGCAAGATGAACTGCATGGTCAAGATTCAGATGTACAGGAACGACGGGATAATAGATGCAAAGTCAAATGGTCACGTGCAGAGGTATTGCCATGTGTGGATGTTGAACATGAAAGTGGGAAAAGGAGCAACAGAATGGGTTTGACAGAAATTGGGTGGAAAACACTTTGGTGACATTCAACAAGTGCTATTATTAGAAATCCTAACTTGCAGAGCTGGGTAACATGTTTCATAGGCTATGATATTAAAGGGCCCCAAACTTCCAATTTACTGACTTATCCTTTTGTTCCTGAAATATTTATTTTGGATATGAGGGAAACTCTTTCCAAATAGCATATTGCATTGTATGTTTTGTTTTTTTTAAATGTGTAAATGGCCTGACAGCATTTCTCTTTGCAGGATGAGCTATTGAATTCACTGGTGACTCAGTTTGGACATGACTGGAAGTTCCTAGCAAGTCATTTTCCTGTAAGTTGAGTATTTTCAGCAGAGAAAAGGGTTTTCTTGGAGATTATTTGTTATTTTTGAGCACAGACTCGTGTGAGGCAGAGTTGAATAAGATGGTTTTCTGTCCTTCCTACTGGTTTTGATTTCTCTGATGCCTACCCCTAGTAATATTCCCTTTAATGTGTATCTATAAATTTGCCTGCAGAACCGCACCGAACAGCAGTGTCAATACCGCTGGCTCAGGGTGCTAAATCCTGTCTTGGTGAAAGGCCCTTGGACGAAGCAGGAAGATCAGAAGGTAATGTTTTACTGTTGACATTTATATTGGAAGCAACTGGAATCCTTGCTTTCTTAAGAGATTCCTATTTTGCCAGGAGAATTTCGCCTCATTCTGAGTGGAACCTCTGCTTGCTGCTATTCTTTGTCTGTGAAATGCAAAATCTCTTTATCTTTGGTAATTGTTCCCAAAGCTTGAATTAGTTGTGACTTGCTTCCAAACTATTCCTCTCGAAAACCCCAGAGTCCTTCCATTGAAATCACTTTTTGAGTAAATTTGTATTAATGCATACTGTTAGTACCTTATTCATTTAGATTTGTACTGGAATGTCTTAAATTAATGATTGCATTGTGGTTTTATTGTGAACTAGAAATGGCTGCCTAGTAGTGTGGGAGGTTGCTTACTCCACCCAACTGGGAGCTCTGATTTTTACAGAGAGAACCATTTACATATGTAGGGGTACCTTGATCAATTTGAGATTATACTGTACATTGGAAGTAAAACCTGCAATCATAATTACTCCCTCGTGCCCTCCCTGTGAGTTCACTTGCATCTGTTACATTGTCTGAATAGAAATAGAAACAGATGATATTAGGAAGAGTATTAATAATCTAAAATGGAGCAGAATTGAATTCTGTACATTGGCATGAACTGTTCATGCTCTTTTTTATATTTAAATACATACATATAATACAATACAATCAAATACATACGCTATACATCTTACAAAAACACAGATCCCCCCCACCTAATCCCGCCACCCAAACTAATCTCCCCCTCCCCCTACAAACAAGCATAATACAAACTCACAATTAAAACTTTGTAATAGCATGATTCTTATCAAGCTTAAGTTAATTTCCTTGCCTTCCCGGTTGAAGATTCATCTCATTATTTTCCATCTAATAAGTCTCCATCTATTCTTAAGTTTCTTGAATTATTACTATATCTTTTACTTATTTACATTTCCATACTTATTTTCACTTTTATACAGCCTTTCTATATATATTAAACCACTTTCCTGTTTAATTATACAAGTTATAACAAAAAAAAAATAGTTGACTTGTTAGAAAATGTAACATAATTTTATTTACAATGATTCTTTACTTTTTATCATTTCTTCTACTCCTCTTGTTTTAGCTATGTTATTGTCCACCAGTTGTGTCAAAGTCTCTTCATGCTCTTTTCATAGGTTGGCTGGGGTGGTTTGAGAAATTATAGTAATTGCATGTTTGTTGGGATTTTGTGCTCCAAAAGGGAACTTCCACCCTTTGGGCTTCAGAGGTTTGTCACCTAGCCTGTGAACAAATCCTGCTCTTCCATGAGCCCCACTGCTAGCCTGAAGACTATCCTTGCTTTGCTTATAACCAGAGATAGCAAAAGATTCATTTCCTGGCTTTTTCATTGCCTTGCTTTCCTGCACAAGGCTACAACAAATGACTTCAACTTCTCTATTGAAAATGTTACTGCAGAGTTTGTGTATCAAGCTGGATTGCACTGGCAATGCATGCATGCTGAGAAAAATGAGGAAGCAGTGAAGGATCCAAATCTAACCCTGATTGCTGTCAGTTAAGCAAAATGGGAATTATCTTCAGTGGCATCATCTTTAGATCTGTGTGTAGTTGCTGAACGCTACAGACAGGAGCATGTCTTATTATTTGCCTTTTATTTGTTACAAGGTTATTGAATTGGTGAAAAAGTATGGCACAAAGCAATGGACACTCATAGCCAAGCACTTGAAAGGACGGCTAGGAAAGCAGTGTCGTGAACGCTGGCACAACCACCTGAATCCCGAGGTGAAAAAGTCATCCTGGACAGAGGAGGAAGACCGTATAATTTGCGAGGCTCACAAAGTTTTGGGGAACCGATGGGCTGAGATTGCTAAACTGCTGCCTGGCAGGTATGCTGCTTAATCTATTCCTACCCATAATGGGATGGCTCGGTGGAATAGAAAGATGCTAGACTGCTTTGTACATTAGCTTTCAATATATACAGTTGCCCTTCCATTCACGGGGACTTGAAATCCGTGGTTTTGCATATTCACGGAAGGGCAACCTCTGTTAAAATCAATGGGGTGTGCCCCATTCAAGCCTATGGCGCTTGAATATTGGCGAATCACCATTTTCACAGGTGTGTGTGTTTCCAGAATGGATCCCCCGCAAAAACAGAGGGCTGACTGTACATTAATTTTCCATTTTTTATCATTACAGGACTGACAATGCTGTGAAGAACCACTGGAATTCCACAATCAAAAGAAAAGTAGACATAGGAAGCTTTCTTAATGAAACAAAAGAACCCAAGCCCCTCTACCTATTGGTGGAGGTAGAAGACAAGGAAAGCCAAAATGTACAGGAAGCTGAAAACCAGGTATAATTCAGGGGAAAGGTCTTTTTTAAAAAAAAAGTTAAAAGGCTACTTACTGCATTTGAAATAGATATTTTAGAATAGCTTTTCCCAATCTGGTGATTGTATTGGGCTGTAGCCCAACCTTGTGTTGTAGACCAGTACATAAGATGAGCACAAGGTTGGGAAAATTGCTTTAGAAGTATGTTGTGCATTTTCTGTGTGGAACATAATGTGCAGTATGTACATGCCTTGATTTCGATGGTGTCAAATAGTTTCAGCGTTCACTGATAAATTTAGGGTCAGGGGTGGGCATCATGTGGTCTTTTAGATCTTGGCTGTAACTCCCAGCATTCTTTATCATTGGCTGTTCTGGGTAGGGCTGCTGGAATTTGCATCTGGAGAGCCACATGATTCCCAGCCCTGTAGTATGGGGAGATAAAGTTTTGGCCTTCCAGTTATTTTGGACTACAGTTCCCATAAACCATTACCATTGGCTTTTGTAAATTGGAAGTGCCAAATATGTGGAGGGCCTGTGCTTCCGTGCCCCTCTTATCCTTGCAACTTTGATTCCCTGTTACTACAGCTGACAACTTGAATTTGTTATTTTGTAATGATAAAATTTTCACTTGCCTTCCGCAGCAAACCTTTGTTACCAACTGGCCTGTTCGTAGTTTGGAAATCAAAGAGGAGGAAGCCTCTGAAGATGAGCCAGTTGGCTTGCAAATACCTTCAGAGCAGCTCCCTGAAAGCCTAGCGGAGGAGAACATCAAAGGAGCACCAGGAAACACAGTACCTGATGATGCGCTGGAGGAAGGTTCCTCTGCATACACATGGGTGGTTGAAGCAGGCAGTTACTTGTCCACTTCATCAGTTCCAGCTATTACAGAAGCTCTCGACATGATTGAATCTGTAAGAAGTGGGTTGGTGTATTCTCCATAATGCAGTCAAGATAGCGGCTGGGAAAAGATTTTTGTTTTGTTTTTAATGACCACTGGCTAGTCTTCTCAAGCAATACATTTTTGAAGCCCTGGCTACTGTTCCTAAACAATGTGCAGCTGCTGGCAACTTTCTGGCTTAGCAACTCTGCTTGTTGCTCACGTGAATAGAACATTTATTTATTTATTTTATATCTTGTCTTTTTCCCAGCACAGGATTCAAGGTGGCTTACAACCGTTTAAAAACACAGTACAACTAAAAAGTTATAAATACAAAATTTAAAACACAGTTCAATGAGATTTGTGTTTCAAAGCACAAGTTAAATTCCGTTTTAAAAACACAGTCAAAACAATAAATAGAAACACAACCCCTCCTCCCAAAGCTCTATCTGCCACAACTTATTAGAAACCAAATACCTACCTAAATAAAAAGGTTTTTACCTGCCTGTGGAAAGGCCACAGCCTGACCTCCTGGGGCAGGGAGTTATACAACTTGGAAATAGCCAACAAGAGGGCTGTCTCAGGTCCTTACCAAATGTGCTTGTGGTGACAGTGTGACAGAGAAAACCCTCCCCTACAGATGTGAAAACTCAAGCAAGCTCATGTCGGTATGCCCTACAACAGCTTCAGACAGACTTCTAGCAGGTAAAAGTGAAACACGGGAGGCCCAGCAAGCACAGTCAGGAGCTTAAAGGGCAGGGTGGAGGCAGATGCACTAAAGTGACCTTATGGGGATATGTTTGTTGTCATTATTTGCCTTCAAGTTATTTTGGAAGTATGGCGACCCTAAAGTAGGGGTTTCTTGACAAGTTCCTTCAGAGGAGGTTTGCCATGGCCATCCTCTGAGGCTGAGAGTGAGACTTGCCCAAGGTCACTCAGTGGGTTATACATGGCCAAACTGGGATTTGAACCCTGGTCTCCAGAGTCCTAGTCCAACATTCCAACTACTACACCATGTTGGCTCATGCCCCACACATTAAGCCCAAATGTACATCCAGGTTGCCACAGATCATGCCAGCTGACAATTGGAATCTGTTTTTAATCCTTCACTCTGTTACTCTTCTATGCTCTGGGTAGATTGCTGCAAGTTGTACTTACCCTCACCAGCTCTTTTGTGCTATTTGGAGGGATTTGTCCTAATCTTTGGAATTACTCTCCTCCAAGTACACACATTGCTGAATGACTGTCTTTCAATTTTCATGGCTCTGAGGCTGATTTAAAAATGCAATACCAGTACAATTATTTAAAATATATTCCACCCTGTATCATAAAGTCTCTGAATGGCTTACATTAAAATCTGTTTTAATGATTTAAAATGTAAGACAATTAAAATGAAAATCAAACATTCTACATCAAGCATTAAATACATAAAATAAAACATTCTACATTAAACATTAAAACAATTGAATAGTAACATTAATGGAGTTGTAGATTGCAAGCTTCCTTAGTCTTGTGCCTCTCCTCACCCACAGTGTGTTAGTCTACAACTCACATCACCCCCAACCTGTACGGCTGATGGGAATTGTAGTTCTAACGAAATAAATTGTGAGGGCTGAAGGAGGCTGATGTACATGTGGAAGGCTTCCAGAACTGAACTATGCATTTGATTTATAATAATTCAGTAGAATAACTCATAATACTATTGAGTTACTCTAGTACCACTTTTTTTGTCTTCAAGACAAGTCACCCATGTCCCTGATTTTCTCTGATTATTCCTTTTCTGGCAGGACCCAGATGGTTGGTGTGATCTGTCTCAGTTTGACCTTCCTGATGATTTGTCTGCAAGTAACAGCAACAGCCCAGATAGACAGACATCTATCAAACCCTATTCCTCACAGAATGTGACAGAGTACCGTTTGGATGGCCATACCATTTCGGATCTGAGCAAAGGCAGCAAGGGCGAGCTTATCCCCATTTCCCCACGCACAGACATGAGCTTTGGAACACCACCTTCCGTACTTAAGCGGCAGAAGAAGAGGAAAATCAGTCTCTCGCCAGTTTCAGAAGGTGGCACCAGTACCAGCCTTTCCTTCCTAGACTCTTATAATAGCATGACACCTAAGAGCACCCCTGTCAAGAGCACCCCTGTCAAGACATTGCCATTTTCCCCATCCCAGGTATGTAGGTGTCCAGCAACTAAGGGGTACTTACTAAGAATGAGACAGTAACTACAGTCACCCCTTTGATTTCTCAGACTTCAAGTACATGTCCCTTGCCTGTTTGTGGGCAGTGAGCGGAGGGGGACAAAATGGGGCTTGAATATCTACGATTTTCCGTTTTCATTGGGGGGGTGTTCTGGAACGGGCCCCCCGCGAGAATGAAGAGGCAACTATACATCTGTACACAATACTGTCTTGTGGCAAATAGCTTTCTCATTTTCTGGGTATTGTCATCGATTGGCTGCAGCCCACCACCCTGTTTCTACGTCAGAAATTTCTATCCTGATTTGTAGAAAGCAAAGAATACTTTTTCCCCTGCTTTATAGTGGAGTTAGGGAACCTATGACCTTCCAGATGTTGATGGACTGCTACTCTCACCATCCTTCACCATTGGCCAGATTGTCTAAGGTTGATGGGCTTGGAGTCCACCATCTTCCGATTTTGATAGGCTTCCCAGCCTGTTAATGCTTTCTGGTTATATTATCTAACTATATAAAGTGGAACATATCTTTACATGACTGCATCCAAAAAATATCAGGTTAGACTAGAAATTCCATAAGTTCTTGTGTTACTTTTTTAGATATGGAAGAGTCATGTGGAACTCTTCTGTGTCTTTGAATGTAGCATTGGAGATTGTCCCTGGTCTTTGTATTCAGCAACCAGCTCTTCAGTTCTTTGATTGTACTTTGCTCATCTTTCATTTATTTGGTGTCTGCTTACTTCCAAGGAATTCTGTTCCCACATGAAATCCTTACTGACCTCTGGATATACACTGTTATTAATAATGGGTTAGCAGATCAGCATCACTAGAGCATCTTTCTTCATTTCTCAGATATGTTACTTGGCTTTATACTTTTCCATGCATGCCTATACCAGGGAGCTACTGAGAAGTGATAGCAGCATTGTTTGGCTTTGGCATACACCATAATTCAAAGGTAGAAAATGACCAAGGTACTTTTACTCCATTAAATAAATAGGGATAAAAGCTGTTGAATTGCTGCTGGATGTTTGCTGCTGTAAAATTATATTGTTAGATGGTTTTGCTGCTGAAGGATGAATGATATTATTACTGAAGATACTGGTGCATTCCTGATATTGTGGTAATACCTTAGAAGATTTGGTAATGAGTCCGAGACAGATGTGACACCAAAGTTAATATTGTTATATTTCTGACATTAGTGGTCTTTCTTGAGACATTTACTCTTCATAATGTCTGTTCAGGTATGTACTTTGTCTCTCCTGAAAGTGTGGTGTTGATTTTTTTTACAAAGCACTATAACTGTAGCTGCACTTAAGCAACCAGCTACCTCATATACTGTCACAGCATAAATCTATCTGGTTCAGCATTGCCTGCATTAACCACTAGCAGCTATTTAGGCTTTCAGGAAAAGGTCTTTACTAGCCATATCTGAGACTGAACCATGTACTTTCTCCATGCATGACATTTTCTATGGAAATTCCCTGTTTATTCTTTTGCACAAGGAAGACAGACTCTAGTAACAATGCCGAGGAACAGGAAGCTATATAAGTCAAACACCTATTGCAAATAAACAATTGATGCAGATCTAAAGAACTTATCTGTTATGAAATGACAGTGTTACTAACATTTCTTTTTGTTTCTGTATGGTAATATAGAAACGGTTAACAGTCTTCTGATGTTGGCATCTTGTGCCAAAAACAAAGCTTAGAAACGGTACCTTTTGGACCATCATCCCAGAATCCCCTGCAATGGCTGTCCTGCCTTGAGGATTCTAGAAGTTATAGTCTTAAGAGTTTGGGGTGCTTTTTGGGGGGAGGGGTTGTCCAATAAAGTAACTTCAACTAAGGGGCTGTACAGACTGGCCAAAAGGGCCGGCCTGGGGGTGGAGTGGGGGCATGGCAATTGCATGCTGGCCACCCTGACTCCACCCCGATGCTGCCGTCATGCTGCCCACCCAACCAGATGAGGGGGCGGCATCAGGGCGCTCCCTTGGTTCAGTGTTCACACATGCTGCGCCAAAGGAGCATCAAAAAGCCGGCTTGGCAAGGGTGGCTTTTTGCCACTCTAAAAAGGAGTGGCATTTGCCAGCTCTTTTTAGAGCGGCAAACCACCAGATCGGGGCTGTGGCATGCAGTTGCTGTGGCCCCAATCCGGCAAGGAAAGGGGTGGCGGGACACTGCCCCTTAGGAGCTGTCTGTTCAGCCCTTAAGTTCTCCAAACAGTGTTGTGATCTGTTTGCCACTTTATGGTGACATTTATTTTCTTAAAATTTGGCAGTTCCTGAATTTCTGGAGCAAACAGGACACACTGGACCTTGAGAATCCTTCTTTAACTTCTACCCCCGTCTGCAGCCAGAAAGTGATAGTGACTACCCCGTTACATAGAGACAAAACACCATTAGTCCAGAAAAACTCCGCGTAAGTCTTCATTTCTGCCCATCATTTCTCATGTCTGCAGCTGTCTTGCAGTGAGGAAGGTCTGTTCTCTATTTTGTTATGTGTAAAGACTAGCAGTAAGTGTGGGAACACCAAATCTTAAGAATGAGTAATGGTGAATTTAAAGTAGTATAGGATGTAGATGAGAGACGCTGTGATCCCAATGGCCATTTCTGCAAAGCACAATTTATACAATAAAGTGGCTTCAAAATCCCATAATTTTTGATTCACTTTTTGGGTTGTAGTAACACTGACAAAACTAAAGTCCTCTTGCACTGCACTGATGCTGAATCAGGTGGCTGCTGTTACATTTGTTTGAATGAGTTTGTACTTCAGGGCTGGGAATTGTGTGGCCCTTCAAGTATTGGATTTTACCTCCTCACGTTCTTTACCATTGGCTATGCTAGCTAGGGCTTCTGGGATTTGCAGTCCAACAATATCTTGAAGGCCTCATGATTCCCACCCCTCATGTATACTCATGTATATGTCAATATTTTTTGATAAAAAAATCAACCCTCAAAAAAATGGGTCAGTTGAACCACGGGTCATGAGAACAACACTGGCTAGATGAGCTCTCTGCTCCCTGTCATTTTAGGCACTTGAGGTGGAGCATAGCAGTGATGGCAATTTTGAATAGGAGCTTACTGTCAGTGTCTGCAAATCTTGTGAAGTGAGGCTTATACAATAAGCCCTTATTCAAAATGGCTACCACTTCCCTGCTCCACTTCAAGTGTCCAAAATGGTGGTTATAGTGCATTCTTTGGACTCCCCCATATTTCTGCTGAATGAAAAAAAAAAGGAGGGAGGGTTGCTTTTCTTTCTCCAGTTTGGGAAGGGAGAAGTAATGGGGTGGGAGCGCTGCTTCCATGCCCTGCCACATCAAGAGGGGCTTCTTGCCTCTGCTTCTTGTCACTGCCTTTGAGTTGGGTCCCTAATAGAGGCAGGCTGATTTCCTTGCTCTTTTCTCCCCTTTTTTTCAGGCCACATTCACATTTTTCCTCATGTATATTCCTTTCCTTATCAATATATGTATGAATGGAGACATTTTAAGATCAGCAATGCCATTTATACCCTCTCAATTGTAAACCATCAAATAAACAGTTTGCCTTCTCTTTAGCTCTTTCTAAGTATGTATGTTCACTTATACGTTTTTATAAGGAAAGGAAAAGATTGGTTACGTGTTTACCCTCAGCTTAAACATAAGTCATAGCAAAATTTTGGCTCCAAAAAGTGCTCTTGACTTATATATGAAATTGACTTATACACAAGTGTATATTGTAGTTCTTTGACCATATGATGTTTACAGAAAGAAAGCTGTGAAACAACAGAGAACGTATACAACTGAAAGTTTACTAACATCTTTGGTCTACTTTGCAAAACTATATCAA